GACATGGAATATGGACCGGAAAATATTAATTTACTTGTTACATGGATGATTACGATTCACTTACTTTTTTAGCCTATCTTTTCTCACTTTAAAAATAAGGAATTTATAGTTAAAATTGTTCTGCACATTAGTCAGAATTCAATGTGATAATAAAGATTAAGAAAAAACATCACAAAATGTGAAGGACTATGCTAACGGTTATTTTCACAGTTTTCATTAGTTTTCTCTATAATGTATAATCTATAGTAATATTCAGGATAATATTAATTCTTTTCAAAGCAGACCAAGGGAAAAAAATTAAATCATAGTAATGAAATAATCCATGGAGAATATGTTTCAAGGAACAGGAAAATTAAAGTTTTCTTTTGGAAATGAGATTAATTTTGTGAGGACAATGTTAATAGAGAGTTTTGTTCACTTACATTTACAGAAATACTAAGCTGGATAAGCACAGTGAGCACAGTGACATTGACAAGAAAAACAGTTTCACAATTTTGATAGTGTAACAGTATAGTGTAAGTAGTCACTCCAACTTGTTTTATTTTATAGAATAACCTTTCCCTGATACTCAAGCACTTGAGATATTTTATAACATAGAGTTAGTGTCATTAAACCAGTTGGGTGATCAGGTAAGATTCAGTAATGCTATACACAATAAAGTGTCACATCACTATTCCCTTGCTGGAAGATAAAGACAAAATTTTGTAAAGTCTGAAATCAGCTGGAACTTAACCAAAAGTGTGTTGTTGTGATTCTTCAGTGGCTCTTTTTTTCAATAATACAAGTTCTTTCTTAGGCACTGGCAACAAACACGTGCATCACTACTTACTTTTTTTTTTTTTTTTTTTTTGGTCCAAAATTGGCATTGAGCAGAGCCCTTGAGAGTCTTACATAGCAGTACATGAAAAGAAAGGGATGGGAGGGGCGGGGGTGATGGACTGCTTTTGAGATTGCATTTTATTCTGCTTAAAGTCAAAGGGAATAATGTGACCCTGCTTGTAGACATCTCTGTGTGGCACCATTCCAAGGAAATAAGTTCTTACTGCTCCTTAATGTTAGTATATCTGTATTAAGCAAAGCCCTTGCATTGTTACTTCATAGGAGTATAGTCAATTTAAATATTCTCTTTTTTTCTTTGAGCCGTCTGGTAGTTTTCTTAGTGTAGAGTATAGTGCATTTATAAAATAACTTTTCTAGCCCATTGACTGTGGGGACACTTACCTACTCCTTCTGCTGTCTCCCTCTTTTTTCTTTTTCTTCTTTGGTAAAATTTCACAAGTACAACTCTCCCTAGCTTCCTTGACTTAGTCCCAATGTTCGTCTACCCTGGCTAAGAGCTTATTTACCATTAGCCAGATACAAAATTAAAATTGAGAAAATACTCTTAAGCAAAACACATATCAGTTTAAAACCCCACCTTGATAAATTAAAAAAAAAAAAAAAAAAAGTCCTTGAAGGTGACTTCCAAACTAAGTCCCAAAGGATAAATAGAAATTAAGCAGGTGGAAATGGAGGCAGGAACACAGTAATACTTGCAAAGGCCCTGAAGCAGAAAGTACTGGGTATAGTTGGGAAACTTCTGATAATTTTCTATGGTTTAAGTTCAAAGATAAAAGATTTTAAATATGCTGGGGAAATAAACTCATGAAGGGCTTTATGCACAAAGAAAAGGAATCCAGCCTTTGTTTGGAAGTTGAGAGGAACCATTTAAGTATTTTAAGCTGGGGAGTAACAATCCTTTCTGTACCCTATGAAATGCCTCTGGGCAAAATGATTGGTTTGAAGAGGGAACATTGACTTTAGTTATATGATGCTTTTCTTAAACTACATTTTGGTGTGATGCTGTATTCTAAAAATCTGAAATCAGGATCAATTAAATATAGCAAAATGACATGTTAAGTTTATGCTAACAGACAGATCTATTCAAAATTGGGGGCAAGTCTGGAGTCATAGCAAGCAAAAATCCTGTGATGCAGTGTCATCACTCCTTTTTATGATTTATTTGATTGAGACAGAAGGCTAGGAAATCTTCTCACCACATGTGGGATTATGCAGTATTTCAAAACCAAAATGATTACAAAACAAACATCTTCTCCTCCCAGAGTATTTATGCTAATTTAAATATCTAACTGGCAAAAAAAAAAAAAAAAAAGGTGTATTCATTTAGAAAGCATTCTTCCTCTCAAGAAGAGGAAAGAGACAATTGAAAAACAGAACTTATACTTTAAAATTATTTTTTTCTCTGGTTCAAAAATACCCTGAAAAAGTAAATTTGACCATAAAATTTAATTAATAGAAGTAACTGCCCTGAATCTACATTTTTATATAATTAAACAAAAGCTAAGAACTAGAAATACTTTATATAAAGCAAAAACTGTCAGCCATTATCAATGAAAAGTTTAGAGTCACTCCCAAAAAATTAATCTCAAATGATACCTTCAAAACTACAAATAGGCAGGCCACCCTTGTGGTAGAAGAGGTAAAGTCTCAGCACTATGAAGCCATTGGCAACCACTGCAGTACAAGCTTGATCCTTGGCCAGGGAGCTAACCTGCATGGTGCAACAGACCGCTCCTGATTGCCAGTTTCTCCCCTCAACAATGTGTTTCTGTCAATCTCTCTGTTCTGCTTCCTGCTCTGTCTCTGGTAAATCCTCTCAAGCCTCCCCTAGCCCCCACCCCCTGCACACAGCCTATCCCAGCTCTTATATGCATAAATAACCGAATCTTAAAAAAAAAAAAAAAACCTACAAATGGAAGATGATATTTTTAAATTATTTAAATTAAGGAACTAATGAAAAATACTTGCAATTATCATTTAAATATTACTTTACTACACTACCAAATAGTATGAATTCAAAAAGAATTTTTCTATCAGTTGGAAAAATTTGCATAAAAATGTGTTTGTTTCCTGGCAAGAATACTATCGACACAAGTTTTTAAAGGTTAATGCTTAATACTAATAAGATAATATTTAAATTAATGTTAACTTATTAATTTATTTTAGCTTTAATAGATATTGTTACTCAGTATTAAATATTCTTGGTTTCACTTTATTGAAACATTTCAATAATGTCACATACAATGTGTTATTCATATTTTCATTACTGATGATTTAAGAATTAAATTTCACTTAATATTTTAAAATATGGTGATAAATTTCATGTTTGGATTGTGTTCAGTGCTTATTATAATTAATTTTATAAATGTTGAAATTTTATTTTGCAAAAAATAGATATTGACATTTTACTATGGTATTGCTTTCATTATTAAAAAAAGATAAAGGCATTTGTATTCATCCATTGAAAGTAGATACTAAATAGAAGAGAAACATAAAGATTGAGTCAGAATCTACAATATTCACAATTTGTGGAGATTATGTGTATATAAGAAGGGAAAATAAGATATGATGCCTTATATGAGTAAATGTAGTTATGCACATTACCAGTCATATAGACAGGGGACATAAAAGAAAGGAGGGAAAGCTGAGAAGGGAAGGATGGGATAAAAAAGAACAAGAAGAGTATAGCAAATAATATCACTTCAGAACACAGTACAATTTCAATCATTTATATTGGAAAAATCCATACCATCTTCCCAATGCCATCTCTATCCAGTTTGGGAAATATTTCCACTTGCCAAATATACTGAGAGTTATCTGGCACCTCTTCTGGAGTAGCAGAGATAAGTAGGTGAAATGTTAGAGAAAGCAGGTACTGAATGACAGTAGCTGGAGACCCATCCCAAGATGGCTTACATTTCTATAACCTGAGCTACTAGGAGTCTAATGAGAGTCAATTACCTTACAGTTTATTGCCAGAAAGTAAGGTTAAGAGTATTTTCTAATCTTGCAGTTAGGAATGCAGCAGATGTTTTTGCATGGCATACTGTTGCCTCCCCATGATGGGAATTTGAATATATTTTCACACAAAAATGATTCTCTGCACTGATTATTACCCTAGTATTTTTAGGACATTTCTTTGGTACACTGTTGGTTTGAGAACTGGTTAATATCTGCTCAAAGAACATAACAACTTTTATTTGAAATTTTATAATACATTTTCTCATTAAAAAAACTAGTTAGCAATAATTTATGGATACAGCTAATTGGAAACTATACTTTGATAAACGTCAAGTCTGAAAGTTCTCTCAAACTCCTAAGAGCAATTATAAGAGCATCCAGCAAGATCAAGCTACTCTAATTTGTTTTAAAAGACACTATACTCAGAAATTCTCTTTTTATCTAGCCTGTAAGCACTTTAATTTCAATTCTTTTTTTTTTTCTCTCCCCTGTTGGCTGCAACTTTAGCCACTCATAATATGTTTAATGTGAAAATATTATATATTGGTCTCCCCTTTTCTATACCAAGCTTGATATCCTAAAAAGATGGCTTTAAGACTACCCTTTAATTATTAAAAAAAAAAAAAAAAAGCCTAAAGCATTAAGAAACATACTAACAAAGGCTCCCTGGTGGCACAGGGACTAAAGACACAGCACTATCAAGCTATTGCCAGCCACTGCAGCATGAGTTCCATCCTAGGCCAGCCAGGGAGCTATCCCAACATGGCGCAGCAGACCTCTGCTGTCTCACCTGCTGCTCCCCTCAGCAGTGTATTTCAATAGATCTGCCTGCTCTGCTCCTTACTCTATCTCTGGTGAATCCTCACCCACTGCAACTCTGCCCTACATCCCAGTTCTTGTACAAATAAAATAAATAAATCTAAAAAAAAAAAAGGAAACATACCAAAGAGATGAGTTGTGCTGTGATTCTGTTGTCTTTAATTTGAGTTGAGTAGAACCATGAAGAAGCCTTTGTCTGACATTGGTTAGATGTCTGTGTTAACCCTCAGGTTGCACTGATACCTGGTATTCTTATTTCTCCCATGCTAAAGGCTCTCTAAATTATCACATAAAAAAAAAAAAATTCTAAAGAATTAGAACATCCTGAGACCCTACTGTGAACAAACATTGTAGGTGTTTTCTTTTGAATTTTATTCCAGAAATCTCTACCACAGGACCTCTTGGCATGGGAAGCACCACCACCAGTACCACCCTTCGAACCACAACTTGGATCCCAGGCAGAAGTACCACACCATCAGTGTCAGGAAGAAGAAACAGGAGTACCAGCACCCCATCTCCCGCTGTGGAGGTGCTAGACGACATAACCACACACCTTCCATCAGCATCATCCCAAATCCCGGCTGTGGAAGAGAGCTGTGAGGCTGTCGAAGCCCGGGAAATCATGTGGTTTAAGACTCGTCAAGGACAGATGGCAAAGCAGCCCTGCCCCACAGGAACTATAGGCAAGTCTGTCCTACAGAGCTAAGCTAAAGGTGTTTTGTTATTTTGACTTGCTTTCCTAGCATTTTTTTTTTTTTTTTTTTTTTTTTTTGTTAACACACATTGTTGTTACTTCAATTCTCAGCTATATTACAATTAAATATATATTCAAAGTTAAAAATGCAATCTGATGAAGTCACAGGTAAGGATTTGGTGGATACATGTGAGGTCAGTAGTTTTCACCCATGACGTGAAGTTTCTGGGTTGAGTTATAGATTCTCTAGAGTGCCCTGGCGACTCCTGACAGCCAGCTCTTTATGCATCACCCAGAGTGAATCACCCAATTGCTAGTCACTTGTTACTAATCTCACAGGTCGATTACAGAAAATGAAGTGAAGGACATCTGTCTCACAAGATGATTGTTGAAAACTGCATCCAGTTTAACTAAAGAAAAAGTTTGACTCTTGTTATTAGTCACTCCAGCTGTCCTATCATAGTCAAAGACTGTTACCTTTTTCAAGGATCATGCTAGCAGGAGCCAACCTCCCATTCACTCACATCCATGGGAGAAAGTGATGCTGTGTTATTTTCTTTAGGGGATAGTTAAAAACTAAATAACTCTTCTTCAAGCCCCCTTTCTTTGTTACTGATATGATTCATAATACTCTCAAATGGTAGCCAAATTATTATGTGTAATTTTAAAGCTAGAAATAGTCTGATTTTCTTATTGTTGCATACATTGATCTTTATAAAATTGGCTTGGTACACTGAATAAAATGTCCATTATTCCATAGAACATGTAAATAAAACTAATGTACGATAGTGGTTGTTCATAGGGACTGTTTTTGGGTGTTACTGATTTGATTCCTTTAAAAAAAACAGGTTTCTCGTTAAAAAGTTCAGTGTGGTTATAATATCCTTAATTCCATGGTATGTGAAGTGGTAGTAAAACCAGAAGGTATGCTGGTGTTTTTTAAAGTACATGTTTAATATTTTATCCAGCAATGTGATTAAAAGTATTCTGAAATATCCCTTCCCTTTATAAAAGGGTGAATTGTTTAATTCTAAATATTCTTAGAAAAAAAAGATAGTTTGGAACTCCTTATATCTCAGCCCTGTCCCCTTAGTTCTGGGTCTTAGTTCCTTCATCTGTGAAAGAGGTATAAGTCCCCCTACTTCAAATATTTGTTGCAAAGGGCCAGTTTATTTTGAAAACACTTTGCAAATTGCAAAGCACTGCAGAAATCCTCATTACTATGAAAATTGGGATAGAGATTTGAAGGAAAACTTCTGTAATCCTCCCAGGTCCCTATTTATATGTTTTAGTTTTACTTTCACCCTTTCTTTGTCCTATCTGCTGTTCCACTATTCAGATGCACAGTCTCTTATCTGAATTACTGCAATGTTTCCTCATAACCTCCACATTGCTCCTGAAAATTCTTCTTCTGTGCTCCTGCCACACATCTATCTGAAGCCTAAATCAGCTTATTTTTCTCCTCTGCTTAATGTTCATTGATTTCCCAGAACCCACAAAGAAGAGACAAGAGAACCTCTGACCTAGCATTGCTGACCGTTGCAACTCATTAAATGCAACTCCCCTATCCAATATGCCTCAGTGAGAACACTTAAAATTTCACAAAGAGAACATATAATTCCTCCATCTGGAATGCTCTTTCCTACCTTGTGTTCCTGAAAAATCTTTGCACTGATTCCTTTAATATTCAAGTGCTACCTGACCTCTGAAAACTCAAGCACTAAGTCCCAGGGAGGCAGTACCCCAACAATCTAACTCATGGAATTACTTCCTGGGTATAGCATAGTTGCCAGTAAGTGATATAACAATTTTAAATGTTTTTGTTTGCTTTATTACATTTCTCCAAAGCCAGTTGCTTGCTGGACACTGTACATGGTGTTTTAATAGATATTATCTCAGTTTAATGATAACATTTTTACCCTGACTCACATTTAAACATAACAGGTATATAAAGTCATTGTAAGAAAAATGGTTTGAATATTTGAAGCAAATGTTTCTCTCATTTTAGGAGTATCAACTTATCTATGCCTGGCTCCTGGAACATGGGATCCCCAAGGACCAGATCTCAGTAACTGTTCTTCTCCTTGGATCAATCATATAGCACAGAAGGTAAATCTGTGACTGACAGCTTTGCCAAGCCTGATCCTATATTGTTGATTATAACTGCTACAAACAAACAATCAAAATTAAAAAAAAAATAATGTGAAAAAATTCTCCCATGTTAATTTAAGATTAATGATAATCTCTGATATACTATGAGCTAATTCTAGAATTTTGTTTTTCTTAAAGGGCAAATCCATGAATAAGCCAAGCAGTGGTGCTTATAACAATTTTATTGCTAATAAAATTTCTATGGATTGTGAACTACAGATATAAAAATCCAAGAGGTATTATAAATCAAGCAAGCAAAACTTCTAGCATACATATATATGAATTTTCCTGTGGAAATAATAATTTAAAGAAAAAAAGTCGATCTTTGGAATCTTAAGCCATTTGATAAATGTTCTGTAACCTAATCATTTATCAGTGTTAAAAGTATACACATGTGTGACAGAATCTTACAGACTCAAATTTGCAGGCCTTATTTGGTTGCAATATGTTGAACATTTTTATTATTAATGCACTGTGGGGCTTTGAATTGATTTTATTACAAACAGAGACCAGATGTGCATTTATGCCAAAAGGGCTATGGGATGAATCCTTATTATAGCAATTTGTGTGGATTTATGCACTCCTAAAATGGAGAGTCCTTCTATGGCACATTAGCTATGCTGAGGAATTTCTGAAAGAGATTTTTTCTGAGAAACATTACAAATGATGGTCTTACTAAAAGCCAGTCTGTGCCATTGCTCTTTACTCTATTTGTTTTTAACCAGGCTGATCCTCAATAACATACCATATAATAATCCATAAATATCTACCCAGTAGATCATTTAGCAGATGAGCCATAACTATCTATTTATCCTAAATCATGGAAGAACAGTGGCTATATTGACTCTAGTTACCCTCTTACATATGCATCTCCATACTTGTTGCTATTCATAATGCTGTTGCTCCAATTTCAGCTCTGTTCCTGCCACAGTTTTTATGTCCTTTGCTTTTATTACAATGTAGCTGAGACCCCAGGGCAAATAACTCTTGCTGGATGTGATCGGATTAAGAGATCACTAGCATATCTCCTTACATTAGCAACTTTTAAAAATACTCCCTACATACTTAGCCCAGGGGTTAATATTAACTCAGTCATAATTCACCTAGAAAGCAAAGTGTTTTCATGATAATTCCTGAATTTAGTTGGATTGCTTCATTGTAGAAATTACTGGGTGACTTTAACTGATACTGATCCTTAATTCTTTTCTTTCCTCTGTAGACCTGCTAATCTTATGACAAAAGAGATAATTCCTTGCAAAGACCAGACAGCTGTTGCCTATTTGATTTATGGATGGAGTGTTTTTATTTTATAGCAAATATATTCCATTCTTCCAGAGCATTATTGTTTAAGCCTGTAGAATCTGTAAATTTATGTTATATTATAATTATATTTAGATTATAGAATTTAGGTAATTTGAATTTATAATAATAATTTAGCTTGATTACTCTTATTTTATGAGTATAGCGGGAGGCCTTGGTGCACTCCAAATCAGCTTATGTGGTGAACCCAAGGTCAGTCAGTATTGGAGTTGGTGTTTTAGCTGGGTGTACCTTTATCAAGACGGATGTGCTTAGCCACATCATGATTGCCTTCTTATCCCAACTCGGTCTCTTCACTTCTTCTGTCCAACCATATACCACGTATGTCCCTTATACCTCCAAATATTTACAGTACTCATTGAACATAAATGGTAGTTGAACAGCCTCTTTACCACAAAACTCCCAACACTTTTAGATACTAACATTATAAACCTCCAAGAAAAATTTATATGGAGTGTGTATTTATTTGTCCATATTTTCTCTCCTTCCTCCCTAAATCATCTTCCACAGAATCCATGCCTCTCCTCATTTCCTCCCTCATACCAGAGTCTCTATAACAAACAGATGGATGCTTTGAAGAGGGATTGTTTACAGTGTTACTGAGGGAGCAAGTGTAAACTGCAAGGAATGGAGCAGGAGCCCAGAGCTGCGGCAGAGCTGTTTCCACCCCTAGGCTGTGGTTGCTGGGTCAAAGGAGTGACTGAAAATTGGAAGTGGAGTATTCTTGAGAGGAAATTTGACCTCTAGCTGAGGTGTTTCAGAAAGAGATCTAGCGGAATAAATATCATGATGTCAATTTACCAGCTTCCTCATTTTACCTACCTGGCTTTTCAATTGGTCAGACCCAAAAGTAAGACAAAGGCAGGAGATCTTAATGACCTCTGTGTATGTCCACCTCTGGGGCAGAGAGCAGGATGAAAGAGAATGGCAAGTGATCTTTCACTAGCAAATGAAAGGACATCAGAGTCCTCAAATTTTAATTTCCTTTTCCTATTCTCCCTTGCTTTTCCTTCATCCCCTCTACTTTTACCTTGCCCTTCCCTCTCCTCTCCCTTTCTCTTCCTTTCTCCTTCCCTACTGTAATGGCTTTTTATGCCTTGTTGAAAAATTGAAGTGAAATGGCATGTTTTAGGATTCATTCCTTCCCTCCCCACTTGTATTTCTGTGAATTTCAGACTTGAAAAGTAAGACAAATACATTTAATCCTGTCCAGGAAACCATAGGTGAAAAAATGACAAGCACATGCAAAAAGTAATATAATCAAAAAGGTGATTGTCTCATGAAAACATTCTATTTAGTTTCCTCTCTCCAGGAGCTTATGGGTGAATCTTGCCTAGAGTGAGAGGCATTTCCTTAAAGGCTTTATAGTTTGTCTGAAGGATCCTTGATGTTTTTAAAGGAAATACCACCTCGGGATCATTCTTCCCATCTGTACAATGGAGAAGAGCATTTATTTCACTTTGTTTCTTAAGATTTATTTTTTATGCATGCAGAAACTGTGGTACAGGCCAGATGTGCAGGGGTGAGAGGATTCACCAGGGACAGAGTGGGGAACAGAACAGGCAGATCTACTGAAATACACTGCTGAGGAGAACAGCAGGCAATCCAGGAGAGGTCTGCTGTGCCATGTGGGTAGCTACCAGGCCTGGCCAGGGGATCGAACTCTTGCTGCAGAGGCTGTGGATTGCCTCATAGTGCTGTGTTCAACCCCAGGGAGGTCCCATTTCACTTTCTTTTTTTTATAAGCTATTTAGTTAGTCTTTTTTTTTTTTTTTAAGGCATGTATTTTTTATTTATTTATTTGTTTGTTTGTTCGTTTACACATGCACTGGGCACAGTCAGAAGCGCGGGAGGGTGAGAGAATTCACCAGAGCCAGAGCGGGGAGCAGAGCAGACAGAAGGACCGAAGTACACTGCTGAGGGGAGCAGCGGGCGGCAGGAGAGGTCTGCGCGCCATGTGGGACCCTCCTCCGGTGGCCGGGGAGCAGCCGGGGATCGAACCGGCGCCGCAGAGGCTGCGGGCAGCTTCGCAACCCAGCGCTCAACGCTGCGCCACCGGGGAGGCCCCCATTTCACTTTCAATACTATTCACTCACTATATATCTGGCACTGTTATAGGACAGGGAGAGGGGCAGCCCAAACCCCGCAAACCTGCCTATTTTAAATGGGTTCTGCCATCCCCCGCATCAACACAAAGCATGAGACTTTTTAATGGGAAGGAACTTTAATACAGCTAAGAAACGAAACAGGTAAGGCAAAGAGTCTAGTTTCTAAATGAAGCACCCAAAGTTACCCATCCCCTCGTGGGTAAAACTCCATCCATAAGGGATCGGCCCAAAACAAGGCCCCAAAGCCTGCCCAAGTCTAAAGCATCTTCCAGTGGGGACCCACAAAAAAGGGTCAGAAACAACCTGACAAGCCCGGAAGGAAAAGAGCAAAATCAACATCAAGATAAAAGCTGCCATTGTCACCTCCCCACGGGTCTCACCCACATCTGTGTCACCCAGTCCACGACCAAAAGACAAGCGCAGTTTCTTCACGTGTCTCTAGGCTCCCTGAGCCTCCTCCGGTCTCCTGGCTCCATCCTGCTTCCTTCCTCAGTCTCTTCTGCAGCTTCTCTCTTCCTGCTCCCTTGGGTGGGGCAGGGAACCTCCCCCTTTCCTGGGGACCACCCTGTTACAGCACCACTGCAGACAGCAGTGCACACAAATAAATGAATTATGATGCATATTTTAGTTGGAAAAAGCAAACTTTATATTTTCATTTTCTTTAGGAAATGAGTTATTTTTCCTCATGGCAGTCAGGCTGGCAGGGGAGGGGGGGAGAAGGGGTGGGGGAAGACAAAGACTCTTGATGGTTTCTGACTGACAAATGAATTCAGGCCACTTCTATAGTGATGAAATTATAGGTTAAATTTTGTGTGGTAATAGAATATAGATTATAAAATGTAAGTACAAAAGTGAGAATCACAAAGAAATTTGTTACAAAGTAGTCAGAATAGTTTCATAATGATGAGATTTTATAAAAAGCATAATTTTTATGCAAAAGGAAAAGCAGAAGTTTGACACAGAGAGGACCTTTCCCATAGTAACAATGTGGGGGCAAGAGAAAGAGAGAGAGAGGAAATGGAAGGAAGGATGATAGTCACAAAGATAAGTAGAGAATAGAAAGATAGATAGATCAACATATTGATACGTAGGTCTGTTCTTAATGTTTGAATATTATTTTTCACTTTTTATTGAAAGTCAGCTAATTGGTTTAGAGCTTTGCCTTTTCAGAGATATGTGATAATATGGGGCCTCTCTGGTGGCTCAGGGGGTTAAGGCTCAGCACTGTGAACCTACGGCCAGCCACCACAGCACAAGGTTGATGCCCAGCCAGGAAGCTAACCAACATGGCGCAGCAGACCTCTCCTGTCTCTCCTGCTGCTCCCCTCAGCAGTGTATTTCAGTCAATATGCCTGTTCTGCTCCCCACTCTGTCTCTGGTGAATGCTCTCACCACCCTGCCCCTCTGGCCTACACCCAGTTCTTGTATGTGTAAAGAAATAAAATACATCTTAAAAAAAAAAAAGCAAAGATATGTGCTAATATATCCTGTTTTCTCTTGTTTCTTAATGACTGCCTACTGAAATCATCAATCATAGTCTCTGGCTTCAGTCTGATCTCTAGCTTAGTTTAAAATGTTCATATTTTGTATTTTCCTTACCGTTAAGGAGTACATTTCACTTTGTAATCCCTCTCATTCTTTTCCATTTAAAATTCCATGAAATTACAGTTTTGAATAATATCCTTACTGTTTACTTGTAAAGTGAATACTCTTCCTACTTCATTACCTGATCCAGCTATTATATGGAAAAGAAATGCCTGAATTGTCATTGGAAAATAGTCTTTATATTTACACAGGAGGAAGTATCTTTTCTTTTGTTTGTACACAAGCTACTGACAGATTTTGAGATAATATATTGTTCTTCCTGCATTTTCTAAAGAAGGATATGAAAATCTAGAAATGATGATGACATTTACAGTACAAAATCAGTCAGGTATTTGCCCCAGGAGACTAACTTGAATTCCATCATCTAGCTCTTAATTTTCACGTTCTTCTATCCTCTGTGTTTCTAATAAAGAATAGTAATAAATCGCTCATTAATTTTGTCAGAAAGTTGAAGATTTTCCAAGACTTCCAGCTTTTTTAACCTACTTTCAGTTGTGAGATAGATTTTATTGTTTATATATCCATAGGACTCAGATTTATGGGAACATAGGTAGATTTTTCAAAGAAATTGTAGCTATATGCTTAAACACAATGAGTAACTCATTCATGAATTGTTTTGGTATTCCATTAATGTTGATGTACTATCTCATAAAATGTCAAAGCTTCTCTCAAAGAAAATTTCTTCTTTCAAAGAAATGTTTTCACTTGTGTCAAAATTTGAAATGTAAATATTAGCCATCTCTGTCATAATTATTAATCCTTAGCTAAAGCTTCAGGGTTTCCCCTCCCCTATTTAAACCCTAGATATAATTCCACCATTTTAATGCAGGCATTAATTTACTAATCCTTAGAAAACTCCTGAAATGTCCCAATATGCATGTGTTTATTTCTGAGAAACAATTTTAATAGAATTTAGTAAATGTTAGAGATAGACATTTTAATAAGGTCTTTAACCCTGCCTCTTTGCACAGAAGTCTTTAGGCAGATTCAAGATATGGTTATGTTCTGTATGGAAATAATATAATTGCAGTCCTTAATAACTATGGTGAGAGAAGTAAATTGTTGATGAGAAAGGTAGAAAGTAGCTTCTTGATTCCACAAGGAAGAATCTGGTCAGTGAAAACCAGATATGGAAAGATGACCTTTGAACTGAGCCATGAATATTGAAGTCCCAGCAGCTATGGGAAAATTAAATCAGAAACCTGGGGATGACTCCAGGAGTCTCCCTTCCTTCTCTTCCCATATTCTGACTGTAACCCTGAACACTTGCAAATTCCTCTCAGATCATGCCAGCTTTCACTTCTCTCTAGCACTTTACTGAAATCCACTATTGTGGATTGCTTCTTTTCCTACTGTACAGCAAGTATGCTTTCATTCATTTCTGAGCTTTCTAATGCATTCACCTGAGTTGATTTCAAATACAAATCTGATTGAACAGCTTCTATTTAGAAAATGCAGTACCCTCTCTTTCTCTTAGCATAATTCCCAGTTACAGTGCCCTTGGCAGTTTCCATGTGACTCCATGCCTCTCTTCCTTAAAGCTGTTCTCTCCTCCTGGAGGCCCCCACCCTCATTGCAACCTAATTCTTGTCCATTCCATCTCAAGAGTAATCATTCTTTCTCAGAGCAGCATTCCCTAAACTTCTGCCTCAACCTTGTCCATTAGTTAAAAATGCCTTTAAACTGCTAGTACCACACCAGGATGCTGCATCACATTCAATACAATTGAAATTGTGCAGTTAATTTGTTCACAGTCCTCTCTATTGATAATCTTAAACTCCTTGTTATTGGGAGCCATTTTATTCATTACTGTATCCCCAGACTATATAGAAACTAGCACAGTGCTATTAGAGATTCAAATTTTGGTTAAAGAATATAAATGAACTAATAGAGTGATAAACAATTGTTGAGGTAATAGAAATATAGGTAAGTATGTAGGTATATTCTATTTACAAAAAAAACTAGATTGAATTTGTCTTTAATACACACAATGAGGTATCAATATTGAATTCTAAAGCTAGAAATGTGTTTTTGCTTTCCTTATACATCTATAGTAGCCTAATGCCCAAAACCATAGTTATTTTAGAGTTAACATTGTAATAGCATTCTCTTAACTTTCTCATTATTCTCAGTGTTCCATCTTACCTAGGCGTGGTCAGCCTGTCTTTACAGGCTTCACTTGATCATTCCTTTGTGTTGCCTCCCACCTCATTTCTAGGTATTTATTATCCCTGCACTGTAGTCCCATAATACCTCATACACATTTCTTGAAATTGCAATTGCATTGTTAAATAATATCATCTGTCTCTACACACCCTCACCCTTGCCACCCACCCCAAATGGCAAAATGTAAACTTCCTGCATGTGAGAGCTTTATAACTTTCAGTCTGCAAACAATTGTTGAATGAGTGAAAGATGTTTACTATGAGTTCTTCAAGTTCAGGAAGAAGAGATTGCAATGAACAGTTTATAAATAAGATAGTGTAACAAATTTAACAAATAACAAATTTATAATTTGTTATTTGATAACAAATATTTAACAACAATTTAACAATTTCACTTTAAAAGTATACTTTTCATATTTTTATAAACATTTGTAATTTTTGTGTTTAATTTTTTTCTTGTAATTTTCTTGTTGGTGAATATTGAGTTTCAGAGCTTTTTGAAGGGGATAATTAGATTCATTCATGAATAAACATTTTTTGAATGCTAAAATGTGGCTATTTTTGAGATAATCCACTAATGATTTTCATATTTGACTCACTGTTTTGCAAAACTGTACTGTCTGCTAGTGACATATACATATATAAATATATATATCTCCATATATATATGCCTCCATTATCACTATCTTTTATGTTGAGAACAGCTATAATTTGACTTACTAGTCATCTGTATTTTCAACTTTTCACTACTGAATATGAAAAAGTTTAAATTTTTGTAAAGAGGGATTACTTAGACTTTCTTTCCACCTTATCATGCCCACCCCAATATCTAATAATATTGAATACAGCTGCACAGCTACCTAGAAAATAATAACACATGGAATTTCTTTCTTTTGCCATTTTTTTCTTATTTTCTTGTTTGTTTGATAAATAATTCTATTTTTCTTAGTGTTTCCTGAAAGATATAATGACAGCCAGTACTTATATCTTCAATTTTGAAGATACTTTGCATTGCCTAGTTCAGTAGATCTCAAACTTTTTTCAATGTGGCTCTTATAAGTGAGTCCAAAGCCTCCTGACATCTATCTGCCTGCCCTAACATTTTCTCATAGAAGGAGTTTTATGTGGTAATAACAAGTAAAGAAAGCAATATAATAATAACAATAATGAGAAAGTAATAAAAAAGATACACAGAATACAGTGGTTAACAGAGTAAGCAATAGTATATCCTGCAAGTATATTTATTATATAAATAGCATAGGTAAAAGGCTGCAACAAATAACAGACTAAGTACATGGAATGGCGCTTCAATTAAAAGGGTGTCCTTTGAGAAATTATTCAGTGATTTGAATATGCATGCACAGAGTAGGAGTTTTGCAGTTACCAAACAGTTGTATCAGATGCTCTGACTTACTGACAGAATACTTAATTGCATATTTAGTGAATACTAGAATCTCACTAATGAATACTGAATCTTATTATATAACCAAATTATAAATGGCTAGTTAATTAACTAGGCTAAGAGGAGCTTCCTGAAAACATAATTTTCAAATGAGATGTGAAGAAAAAGAATTGTCAGAAAAACATGGGGATTACATTCCAGGTGAAGACAGAATTTGACTATAACTTACATGCAAAAACAGTTGCTCCCAGAGATCAATAAAATTACTTATTTAAGAAATTTTTCCTCATTCTGCTTTCAAAATTGTAGTTGAAATCTGGAGAGACAGCTGCTAACATTGCTAGAGAGCTGGCTGAACAGACAAGAAATCATTTGAATGCTGGAGACATCACCTACTCGGTCCGTGCCATGGATCAGCTGGTAGGCCTCCTGGATGTACAGCTGCGGAACTTGACCCCTGGTGGAAAAGATAGTGCTGCACGCAGTTTGAACAAGGTAAGTGTTAGGGGGAAAAGTATGTCCTAAAGCTAAGGACTTTAGTTATCTGTATATATATCTTTAAAGTTGTGGTCAAGTCAGTGAGACTTCCCTGGTTATTCTTTCTCTAAAAATCAGATCCTTAGAGAATTGCTAGTTTTATTTAATTCAGTTCACTGTTTCATTATAATATGAACTTATTTGGCTTTCAGTTTGGAGAAACAATTAATGATAATCTTCCACATATATTTTGAATTTCTAATTCTATCTCCCCTAGTAGTTACTCTGTTTGTATGCTAAATTCTGACAAGATTAACATGGTTAATGCAATGTGTTCCTGTTTCTCCTCTTTCAAACCTTCATATTAAAATAATTGTAGTAAAACAAATGTCCTATCAATAAGTAGCTTAAAAATTAGCAAAAGTAAGAAATGATATTAGCCTCCCATTATAACTGTTTTATATAGGAAATGATATAGCCTATTTAACATTTTATTTAAAAAGTCATACGGAAGTTACTGTTTTAATTTTCATCTCATTTTTATTTTTAAATTAGATTTTGCAACACTACTGTTAAAACATTTAAATATATCTCATCAAATTTGAATTGTAAATAATAAAAATAATCCATTTTAAAAATTTCAGGGATTATACATTTTACATGTATTTATATTAGTAAACATGCAGTATTTATATACATTATATATAGGTATAGAAACATTTTATGTGTATTTATATGACTTGGACACTCTAAGCATTTAATTTACATAAATATATAAAATTCATAAGGAATATATTTATGAAACAAATTTTCAAATGGTGAATAAACCGATGTGAAAAGATACCCGAATTGCTACAGTGAGAGCACTCGTGTTCCCTGAATGTCATTTATGTAGTAGACATCATCAGTTGTTGAAATGGATTTTTAAAACCTTGAATATCATATAATCATACTACTTAAAGCAAGAATTTGGCAATGACAGACTAATGTCCACTATGGAATTCACTAAATGAACATTCCCTTTTAAAGTGAAAAATGACTTTGCAGAGTGGTCTTTTAATGTTTGGTTCTTTGTCTTATTAGACTAAGCTTCTCATTCATCAAGATGGAAAAGATTTTTTAAATAATGTTGGCTCCACATCGAAAAACCATTTATTTTATCTGGCAAATGCTGTTTTTCCTGTAATTTCATCCTAAGTTTTATCTATTATATATAAATTGTTCATTTTTTCCCCATCCTGAGCATAAAGGAGTTATGCTCAGTTTTGTCACATATGTCCATGATAGAATCATAACCAAACCTCTGATATAGTATAATCCATGACTGCTCATATAATGTGGGCATGCTGTGATATTAATGTGTTATCACTCAGGCTGACTAGATGCAATTAATGAATACTGCTGCCGGCTATGGTTATCATAATGTACTGAAAAATATATTTCTATTAAAGTTATATATCCATAATATTACTTGTTATAGCAATACTTGGTATCTTCATTTAAAAATGCTGTTGATGTCTTACAATATCAGGTAAAGCTGGCAATTAATGGCACATTCTAACTGGCTACAGCTAATCAGCTTTTCCTATTCTGAATATCAAATAACCAAGTAATGGACAAATTTCCATTTGTTAAGCTATTTGATGCTCTTTTGTTTCCCATTTGGCTCTTTTCAATTGTTTATATAATGTGGTTTGTCATATGTTAATTTGCATGGTGGAGTAAGTAGATGGGAGGGCAAAGGTTATTCACATGCTTGCTGGCTTGCCCTCATTTCCTGTGGTTCCCACTGTTCCCTGAAGCAGTTATAACCCGTCAGATTTGCAAAGTCAACACCATACAAATCAGTTGAGCTCCACATTGAAATTCTAGAGGGTTTAGAGTCCTGAAAAACTGAGATGCTAGTCAGTGATCCAAATGACAGGGATGGCAATTCTCTTACACTCATTCCTCACTTAATTCTTTAGAGAAGTAACTGCTCTATGTTCACTGAAGAATGTTTGAATTAAAGTTGGGAGAATATTAGCCACACAAAAGGTATCAGAGTAACAGCTTCTTGAAATAGGATAATTTTCTCCTTTAAAAATTCAAAGCAACTGAAGAAAAAAATAAAAAAGGGAAGGAAGAGCACAATCTAATTTGTAAAATTTGGGATCATTTATTTAACAGAACAATTACACTTATTCATTATTCATTTTGTCACCAGAACAAAATGTTTGGGTCTAAATTTGATTGCTGTTACCCTTTTGTTGAGAAAAAAAATCATGCTGTATTTAAACAAACAAACAAACAAAAACATTCTTCATCCCACAGAAGTTGCTAAAATAAATACATGTTTTGGGTCAAAATGTCAACATAAATTCTTAAGAAAAATAAGTAGTGATTAATGAAGAAATTCACCAAATTTTTTAAAACACAAATTAATTACATATCTCTTGCTACATATTCTTTAGAATCAAACAGACATAATGAATGGGCATTTTTACTTCCCCCAAAAAACAGATTTTCTTGTGTGTACAAACATGGTTTGTAGTGCATATTAACCATTTATCAAATCAGTAAACCACAACCATTGACTCTGTCTGAAAAACTAATTTCCAAAATTTTAACATAATTTCTTTGACTTTATATATCTTCATTTGTGACTCTGAAGTAATAACTAACCTATGTGAAATGAATCATTTTAAATGAATGAAGTATTGATTTTTACTGATTTCTACTAATTTATTGATTTCTTCCATTATTAACAGCTTTATACCATTTGCTTTTCACTTGGGTTGTTCTGAAAGAGTGTTGGTTACTGTTTTTCAAACCATTGCTTATGTTTTGCTGCTGCTTAGCTTTCATTTCTCTTCTAGAAAGTAGTGCACAAGAAAATAAGGTGTTTTGTGTAGATGTGTTCTTTTATTTTTCTTGTTTTCTTCTGTCACTAACTTGTTTTTTCTATTCTGTGTTTAATCTGCTGTCTTAATGGATTCAGCTTCAGAAAAGAGAGCGCTCTTGCAGAGCCTATGTCCAGGTACTTTCTGCGTTTTTATAACTGTGTTACATTGTTGAATTGTCTCTGTTGGTGATAGCATATATGGGCAACTGATAGAATAATACTGTACCTTGTTTAACTAAAATGATTTTGTGGGGGTGGGCATGAGGGTGGGAGTAGAAAGACCTAAGTAAGGTGATATGCTAAGAAGTCATTTGATAGTATCTGTGATGCTTTGTCAAGCCAGAAGAACACAGATTATTCAAGAGGTGCAAATGTTGGATCCTCACTAACACATGAGTTGGGTTTAATGTATAAATCTCTAATTTCTTCATGGAAGTGGGTATGAAAATATTTCATCCATACTTTGAACCAGCTAATATTTGAGTGGTGGTTCATTCAGAAATGACAATCAAAGTCATATAATATACTGGATATACTGGATACAGGATACTGGAAATATCATGTTTCTGTGCCAACATGGATCTGTTTATTGTTTCAAGACATATTGTCACTATCTTACTCTCTTACTTATTATAAACATGTTAATCCCAGTGTAACTTCCACATTAACATCTTGTAATTTGTTCTTAGGTAGGGTAAAAACCAGTTTTGTATTTATGGACTCTCTGGGCAAAAGAATCCCAGAAGCAAGTTTCAAGAAGGGATGAAAGGAAGCAAAAAAGGTGGTAGGGAGGGAAGGAAGAAAATGAAAGAAACTAGGTGACCATGCAACTGTAAACTTTATTAAATATATGTGTATACATATTATATATAAACACATATATACATGCACATATGTATCAAAACATCTTTAAAGGGAAAGACCAACTGCATTTATAGAGACATGCCCTCAAAAACCAAATCACTGCTTCTCAATTTGGTATTCTAGCAACTATACTCTATCGGTTTATTCACTATAAGGGATTTTGTGAGATAGTCATTTAAGGGCAAAAAAATTGAATGTTGAACAGAGATTAGGAAGATAAGTTTTTAGTTTGCATTTTGCTTAACTAATAAATCTTTGTGTATGAGAAACTGCTCAGGTTTATTTTTTTATATGATTTTGGGAAAGAAATTGCTGTGCGAAACATATGCATGACCTATATTTTCTTAGTGTGTGCAATATGAAATTGAAGTGTTCTTCATTACTGAAAGTGGAACATCGCTTTTGAGCAATATTTGGATTATTTTGGATTGTGATCAATACTGTCCCTTTAATGGGGACTTGCAGATAATTAGCCTTTCAATATTTAAATCTAGGAAATGCATTTGTCATTCAAACATGACTCTCAGATGGAAAATTAATGGACAGTTTATCCAGTGACTGATTTCCTGGTGTTATAATTGGCTGGCTATAAATAAATGTTATAGCTATTGACTAAACATCTGATAATGCAACAGGGTGGTCCCCAGGAAAGGGGGAGGTTCCCTGCCCCACCCAAGAGAGAGTGGAGCTGAGCAGGAAGAGGAGAAGCTGGAGAAGAGACTGAGGAAGGAAGGAAGCAGGATGGAGCCAGGAGACCTGGAGGAGGCACATGGAGCCTAGAGACACGTGAAGAAACTGCGCTTGTCTTTTGGTCGTGGACTAGGTGACACAGATGTGGGTGAGACCCGTGGGGAGGTGACAATGGCAGCTTTTATCTTGATGTTGATTTTGCTCTTTTCCTTCCGGGCTTGTCTGGTTGTTTGTGACCCTTTGCTGTGGGTCCCCACTGGAAGATGCTTTAGACTTGTAGCAGGCTTTGGGGCCTTGTTCTGGGCCGATCCCATATGGATGGACTTTTACCCACGAGGGGATGGGTAACTTTGGGTGCTTCATTTAGAAACTAGACTCTTTGCCTTACCTGTATTGTTTCCTAGTTTTATTAAAGTTCCTTCCCATTAAAGTCTCCTATGTTTTGTGTTGATGCGGCGGATGGCAGAACCCATTTAGAATAGGCAGGTTTGCGGGGCTTGGGCTGCCCCTCTCCCTGCCTATTCTAAATGGGTTCTGCCATCCGCCGCATCAACACAAAACATAGGAGACTTTAATGGGAAGGAACTTTAATAAAACTAGGAAACAATACAGGTAAGGCAAAGAGTCTAGTTTCTAAATGAAGCACCCAAAGTTACCCATCCCCTCGTGGGTAAAAGTCCATCCATATGGGATCGGCCCAGAACAAGGCCCCAAAGCCTGCTACAAGTCTAAAGCATCTTCCAGTGGGGACCCACAGCAAAGGGTCACAAACAACCAGACAAGCCCGGAAGGAAAAGAGCAAAATCAACATCAAGATAAAAGCTGCCATTGTCACCTCCCCACGGGTCTCACCCACATCTGTGTCACCTAGTCCACGACCAAAAGACAAGCGCAGTTTCTTCACGTGTCTCTAGGCTCCATGTGCCTCCTCCAGGTCTCCTGGCTCCATCCTGCTTCCTTCCTTCCTCAGTCTCTTCTCCAGCTTCTCCTCTTCCTGCTCAGCTCCACTCTCTCTTGGGTGGGGCAGGGAACCTCCCCCTTTCCTGGGGACCACCCTGTTGCAATAAGACCAAATAAAACCAGAATATTGGTGAAGCTGAAATGCTTTGCTCACTAATACATGGTATTACTTCTGTTTGCTTTAATGTAGGTGATTATCCTATAAAATTCTAGAGTGAATAATATTTTAAGCTCTAATCTTAGAATTTTAAAGACTTGTTTTATGTTCCCTATTGTTTCATTGCTTAGAGCATATTCTGAGCTATTTATGAAATAGGTGTGAAATTACACTTGAAATGCTATATGCACTTGAAAATAGTAATTGTTTTGTTATAAGAGTCTTTAAAAAATAAGGCTTTCCATAGGCATAATTGTTCTTCTAGGTTTGATTTTGACCTTCTAGAGCCATTTAGCTTTTAATTTTTTTAGAAGTAGAGTAGGCACTCTAGATAATTAGGCATTATCTTGACCCATCTTTTGTTTGTTTCACAAAAAAGTACAGTGAAAACTGCATGTTAGCTATCAACTATGACAGTTGATTTGTAGGTTGAACAATTGCTATAATTTCTTTAAATATTGATAATATATTAATCTCTTATAACTCATTGTGCTTTTTCCTCATATATTTTAACAAAACAAAAGAAGGTATTTCCAAAATATTTTTAATTGTGATTTTAGATTACACTAAAAGCCTTTTATACTTTCAAAAGATAGAAATTCACATGTGTGTTGGTAAAAAATATCATTATTGTATCTCAGGTATAATACATATCTTTATTTAAGAAGAAAATTTTATGACATGGAAATTTTCCCTTCTCTCTCTGAGATTCTTCTGCTGGTCCAGCAAACACATTAACATCAGCTAGAAGAGCAGAAAAAAAAAAAGAACAGGTTTAAATACTTATGTTTGGTAAATTTAAGTGACTGTAAATTCTAGAGTAACTAGGACAAACCAAGAGATTTTATTCTTGATCTGAGGAATGGAATAGGGGCTTGGGGCATCCAGGAGAGGAGGGAATCTCACATGACAAGAAGTGGTTGACTCATAATACAAAACCAGATACTTGGTAACTGAATGTCTGCTATATAGATAGTTGTCTCCAATAAATAGTTCATTAAATCTATGAATCTTCATTTATAGGTATTTGAGGTCATGGTAACAGTTTCTGCTAAAACCCACAGTGCCTCTGTGGATCTTAGCTACACATGTCAAGGTGACATATATTAGAAAAAACCTATTCATATACTTTGGGGAATTATTTATGTATTCTTCATTTGCTTAAGCATTTCAAATATCTACTATGATGTAGTGTTGCCAGCAGAGAACTTAGAGATGAATATGTGTAACTGAGATCTGGAGAGATAAAAGCACTGGCCAAAGATCTCGCAACTAGCACCAATAGCACACCTGATACTCTCCTGACATGAGTCTAGTGCTTCTTCAAAATCATGATTAGGAATATCAATGATTTATTGAAAAAATATATTAATTAGGCATTAATTATATGGGTGTCATTGTATAGAACCTTTTGCTTAAATTCTTATTTTATAGTCACAAAAATCCATATATATTATATAATATAATATTCTTAACTTACAGTAGAAAAACTGGAGTCCAGGGAGGATTAAATGCTTTTTACTACATCATTCAATAATAATTAAGGGGTCCTGAATTCAAAAGTAGATCTTCCTGATTCAGTAGGTTAGACTCCATATTCCTAAGATAAAGACGTTGCAGAACTGACATTATTGATTAGGAGTCAAGATATTTATTTGAGTTTGTATTTATCAATTCATTGTACTGTATCTCAGAGATTATATAAGCTTTCTTTTTTTCTATTTCTTTTTTTTTTTTGAGACTGAATTCAAGTGGTAGTTTGGTAATTATTTTGTACTATATATTGAAGTCAAATATAAAAGTAATTTGATTTGAGGTCCTTTTACTTTCTGAGGAAACCATGATTAAAACATTATATTGAAAGAAGAAAAAAAATAGTAACTCTATGTTAAAATAGGAATTATGAAACTATCTCCCAAAGTGGCTGCACTATTTTATTTTACATTTCTACTAGCAATTTATGAAGGTTGCAGATTCCCCACATCCTTGACAACACTTGATATTATTTTTGGTATTTTTTATTAAAATGATTATTGTAATATTTACTAATTGTAGAAGTTCCTTAGTCATGGAGTCAGGGCAGAGGAAGGTTTGGGAGTGTAATCCATGAGCCAATAAAAAATCTCATCACTCAAAAGAAAGGTCTATGCTTTTCATGAGTACCTGGGAGTAGACTTAGAACTCAAACAGCTTAAGAACAACTGCCATGGTGTTCTGTAAATGCAACCAGCACTTGGATTTACATTTTTTTCTCATTTTCCAACTTTGAGTGCCCATCTTTTAAATATGAATATTTGTTAGCATTAGCAGCTCTTTTTTTTTTTTTAAGTAACTATTAAGAATTATTGACATTCATTTTTTTGCTGCTTCAAAAGCAGGACATTTTCCAACTTAAGAAATGTATTTTTATTAGCAGTTTCTTTTGTCCTCCAAATCTCAGAGACAGCATGTACTCCCTAGAAAG